ATATATATATATATATACGTTCGTAAAAAAACAACTGTGTTTCATCATTCGTATACGATACAATATACTCTCGACGACTTTAATTCGTTTTATCGAAATCACAACTAAAATGTGCAAATTAGCGTCTGTGTTGTTTATTAATCTCCTCGCTAAGAAGAATGTCCTAAAATTCAACGTAGCGCAGATCTTTCAATTCTATTTCGATTTAACCGACTGAAAATTAATACGGTAAAGTGTATTAAGTTTTGAGTGTATAAAGTTTTATTCGTCGTGACGTTAATATAACTAATTGACTAGCAGGAAACTAAAAGTAGAAAACAATTTAGATCGTATTACATTACAAAGTAGAACAGACTTGATATTTGATGCATTTTCGTATCTAAAGTTTTAAAGCGTAACATTCTTATCATTTTCTTACGTGAAAATGTAGAATAATTGATATATTTAAAAAAAATATGAAATACCTGTAAAAATTATTATAGTCGTGCTTCATGTTTTTTTTTCAAAAGAATTATATTACTTATCTATTACTTATCTATTTTAAATTATTTTAATAGCACCTAATTAAACATAAACTAATAGTTCTAGACAACAGTATCTTCTAGTAGTAGTATAATCTACAACTTTAATTCGTTTCTTATTAAGTATCTACTTATGTGTTAATTTAAAGATAATCTACCTAGCCATAAATCTATCTTAATTAAAATACATCTTAGTTTCACAACCTTAACTTAATATAAAAAATCCTATTCAAATCTAGTAAAAATCTGAAATTTTTATTAACCTATTTAAATATTTATTTTTGTAAATCTACGTAAATATCTAAATATAATAAAGGAGCAGAAGGGGAATATTAAAATGAATGTATCCTTCAAAGAAACGTGTGTCTATTCCCGTTAGTTTTGCATATGTGAATTCCTGAAATAATCTTGAATGCAAATTAATTCAAATAATCGGAAGATTTGTAAGTATTGAAAACTTCTATATTGCTTTCTTAGCAATACATACTTCCACGATTTCAGTAGAAGTTTGAACATTTTTAGACAACGCAACACTATCTAAAGAAACACGAACATTTATTAACGCAATGTTAACTGAATAAGTTAGAAGTAGTTACTATGATAGAGACGTTAATTGCAACATTAATTCTTAAAATGAATAAAGACTATTATATCTATCTGAAACAAAAACAACTTTAACAATTCGCGACAGATATAATATTATTATAAAGTTGGTTAAAAGTTAACTTTTAAATTTTTAATTTAATTTTAAATAAAACAAACGCTGACAATTATCGGAATTACAATGAAAAAAAAAAAAAAAAATAAAAACGCTCGCGATATGTTACGAATTCGAAACACTAAATCAAACCTGACCATCATCAATCGCAATTCTAATATACAAACTGAAATAAATATTCCTTCTCTGTTGTAATTGAAACCGAAATCAACATCCATTTGCAACTCTAATTCACAACACGAAATCTCGATTACTTCGCAACTTTAATCAAAACCGTAATTAATTTCTGGAAACTCTAATAAAAAAAAGAAAAAAACGCGTTTTGTCCAATGTGATGATGGATCGACATACACGTCGGTCAAAAAAAAAAAAAAAAGGGAAAAAAATATTACTGCATGTTACAAAATATTAAAAACGAGCATAGCGACAAACTAGTAACAAAAATGACGTCCCATGCTCTGGATGTATTTCACATACAGAAAATAGGAAGCCATTAGTAGTTGCCCTCTTGAGTGGCAGTTTGCCGGGCCTCTTCGGCTTATAGCCTCTTCTTTCTTCGGGCATTGAAACTTAAACCTAAGCTCGAGTCTTTCTAATCGCAATTTTTCAAATTAGATTTCCTGAAATAGATTGTACACGCGAAATCGTGTCTATCCCTCGAAGACTATGCCAACCTGTCCGGCTCTACCTACTTATAATTGAACAGACACACCAGAAAGTATACTATCCAGCTATATTTAAAAAATAGCAAAAACCAACACATACATTCCGCAGTTCTCTAACATACACTCGGGCTACAGACCTACACTAGAGAGAACGTCCCGGGACGCCTTCGACACCCGAGTGTCGCACACAACTTTCATACTCTATTTTTAATTTACGTACAAGTTTCTTGAAATCGACTAACAAATGCTAGGGGACCATTGCGTAAAATACTTGCATATTCCAACTTTAATTAAATACATATCAAATTCAAGCTTAATACTTTTCATTGTCATATTATTTACAAAATGTACAATATTGGTTATCATAATTTTCGTAGATTATGATTGTATCAATAAGTAATAGTTACGAAATTTATTAACATTTCCATTTTAAATTTGATATTTTCCATTATCGTTTATGAAATTAATCATACTGCCATTCACAATTTTTGTATATTGTGATCGTTTTAAATATCATTATGAAATTCATTCATATTTCAAAATCATTTTGCTTGAAATAATAAGAAAAACGACGCAATTCCATATATAATAACCATACATACACGTCACACATACAACATGGAAAATATATCGTGCACGATACCCGATGCATCGTCAGTCGCTAGAGAAATTAGTAAACTTAGAAATGACTTAGTCATCATGCCTGTTTATCTTTCTCCCACTCAAGTAGCATCTGGCCACGTGAGTGAGATAATCCTCTTCAAATCCTGGCAATAAATATGGAAAGAATTAAATCTGAAAATCTTGAGCTAAAAATGATTTATATCCATATATTTTCCATCGTATCTAACGGGCTAATATTTCTTGATACTGCATTTCTCATTTTATTTCAATTTTTATTTAATGACTCCCATTAATAATTTTTATTGAAATGCAACACTTGAGTGAAGAAACTTAATAACAAGTATATTTACTGAAAGACTAAGGCAAATAATATAAAATTCAATGGATAGTAAGGGACTCGAAGTGAAATGATTGATAAAAATATCCTCAGATGATCCCTTTATCAAAGCTAATTCTGAAAATCGGAAAATAGCGTTTAAAACTATCGCTTTGATTCTGAAATCTACCTGCCACGAAATGTCTTCTTGCACAAAGTTTGATATATTTCTAGACGGAGAAAACTGAACTTTCTTCATGTTTCAAGTTCTATTGAATATGGAAATTAAATAAAAAAGTAATTCTATAGTATAATATGAGATAAAACTATATATTATTCATAATTTCAAGAATTATAATACGTATCATCTTTAGAATTGTAATAATTTCAATTAAAATTGCTGATTTCTCCATGACAAAATACTCAAACAAAATAATTGTAACATGCCATCATTTGTTCCAATATTCGTATTTTATTTATTCATATAGATACTATATATTTGTATGAATATTTTATCTCTGCAAACGATCGCATTAAATATATTTCGATTTTATAAATAATTATACCCTGTAATTTTCAGTCACGCGTATGTTAAATATTCAAAAAAACGCGATGTACAAGAAAACCTATCCTGAACTAATAAATAAAACACAAACAAGAAAATGTTACTGCTCATGAGTATAATAAATACTCACAGTCACTATGCTCGTCAAAAATTTTATATAATACAACTAGCCACTCGTGTCGACTCAGACTTTTCATCCTACGACATGATTAAGTGACTAGAGGAACAAAATGCATGTGACTCACGATTAGACAGCAAAAAGCACTGTTATCAATGAGTATGGTCCAGCAGAAGTTATCGTCATTAGGCAAGAATCGTTGGTATCAAGAAAAAAGTGAAGAATGAAAGAAACCTGTAATAAAGCATAGACTATTATAATTGTTTTTAAAGGTAGAGTTAAAAATTTTAATATATTCTATGATGATAATCACTCTATTTTTTAATTAATAATAATTAACGTAAAATATAAGAAATAAAATTAAATGTAGTACTTACATTCTCGGCTTTTGGGCCACTATTGAGTTCTTCCCATGGAACAGGAAGATTGAAGTTGTAAAAACCTTTATCAAAACATGCGAAATCTTACAATTTGTTCTTAAAAGTATACTGCTGATTATTTAAGAAATTCAAGAAATACTGCTTTTTCAAAATCATTACAATTATTATTATTTATTTATCACAGATAAAAAATATATTAAAAATGTGAAATATTTAATCAATATTAATACATAAAGAATATTTATGTGTTGGAGAATATTCTCTACTATTGTAAAATATCTATGAATATATCGTAATATAATTGATTTGTAAAAATTATGCTCTGAATATAATTGATTTGTAAAAATATGCCATGAATGTACGTCATCAAAATTTCAAACGTGGCTCGCTTCTTTTGTCAGTTAAACAGAACTGTACAATATGGAAATGCAGTGCGCAGAACGTAAATTCGTTTCTTCCCGGAAATGATATAAATTATTAAAAAATGTCAAATACAATATTATTGAAAATTTATAAAATACAGCAAAATGTAATCTGCATTTCACAGTCTTACTTAATTTTGTTATATTAACGTATTAATTACGTTAATGCTATGAATTATTTGTTAGGAGCATATATCGATTGAATATGAAATAAATATTGCAAATTATCCAATAAAAAGAGAAAATAAACAAGTATGTCCGTCTTCATTAAAATAAATGAAATTTTACCATATCTCCGTTGTTGCATTTATCATTAATCATTCTGTCCTTTTGATATTCATGGCGTCCTTCTAATACTTCGACATTTCAATCGACGCAACTCTATACAAAAAAAAGAACCAAAACTTCCAAATAACATGTATAAATGAAACAATTTATATGAAAATGAAACAATAATCAAGATTAAATGCCGTTTTGAAACAGTATACTTATACATGTAACGATGCATATATAATACAAATTACCGGTAAATGTAACATAACCAAGAAAACAATCAAGGATGCGAAAATAACTTAACATTCGATAAACTAAAAATTAAAACTAAAAATTAAAATTAAAAATTAAAATTAAAACTAAAAACGTACATCAGTCAAATAAAGTAATGATAGTAGCGTGAATATAAATGATGAAAAGATGACGATGAAAGTATTGCACAATTAATAAACGCCGCACAAGGCGACACATCTTGACGCCACGATTGTCAACCGTAGAATAATTCCCCGCGCAGCAGGTTTGTGTCGCGACTAATTTGGTGGGGTGGGGATACGAGTAGAAATCGCTCGATTTCCTCGAAAAATAATGTATTCTATGAAAATATTTCCAACAGCGAGCGTATTATATATACATACGTACATTTATACATGTATGCGAATTGTGAATTTTATTTGGACGAATAGAATTGATGAAATTAATGAATATAAAACATAATGAACATTTTAGTGTAGAATGTAATTACATTTTTTAATAAAAAAAAATCTGCAGTAGCATTATGCAATATCAATTTTAGAAAAATATTCGACAATAGAAGAACGAACTCAGAAGCTATTGATTGTAATCTTTGCCTGGCAACTTCTTTTGAACCTTGCAATTAATTTAAGCGAATTTATTTGATTTATTTAAATTATGTTAAGTGAATTTATTTAATTTATTCGATTTGGTAGTGCATAATAAAGTAATGCTTCTTTATACCCAAATATGATTTTTCTGCTCAAAATAGAATTCTATGCAAATTTTTTTATCGTAAGTAGTGCTCGAAATCACCTGTTTGTTTTGCTTGTTTGTTTTACAATAAATAATAATTTATAATTTCACGGAGCAAATAAATCAACATTTCAATAATTTCTAACTCTTTATCTTCAAATCTCTGGAACAGGAATATAAGGTCTTTAACGTCAGATGGAAGCACTTTCCTCAAGAGTGGTTTTCTGACTTCACTGTAAGATGACACTAGTATATCATTCTGGACTGTAAGGATAAAGTAGAGACAAAAATCGTATAAAATGGTGGATTTAACGACTCTGAAATGGCGACACTAGAAAGTTTCCTTTAGACTATGGAATAAAGAAAACCAATAGAAGAAATGCAATTTACTGTTGAATTAATACAAATCATTTTAAATTGATCGATTTAAACCTATAACGGTCTTGCTTGACTCGTTTAACAATTTATATTCTACAAATTGTTCATTACCATGAGTGAATACGTCGTCATGGGATAGAACATATTTTGCTTCATTTAAAGCACAATCGGAAATTTATCCAACGAACAAGGTAGTTCACGGTGTTTACAATTAATTCTTAGTGGAATCGTCGATCAACACGAATTCACTGTAATTAATTATGATAATATTATTGATTTCAGGTTTCCGTGGTCGCGTTAATATCGTTATTGTCGGCATTCGAACGACCATAGCTAACGGTGAATTTCTGTGGACTAGCGACCACCGCAATATCGTTTATCGATTAAACTACTATAGCATGATACTAACAATAAGCATCACGGGCGAGAAACGGCTTCAATTTTCACGTGATTCTACAAAATTCGCGTCTCCTCGTTGCGAGAAAAATTAATATACAGCTCGACGACTGACAGAATTTATGCCCGTCGCACGTGTTGCGCTAACTGACTCTAAATTTTCATAGTGCACTTAAGATGAAACTGAGAGAGATACAAGGTGTATCGTCTTATTAAAAATTACGACAGGTAAATTGATTTGCAAGAATTTATTTGGAACCGGTGGAGAATAGCAGGCGACCAGCGACTGGTTTGTTTCGCATTCAGCCTGTGCCAGAGAGCACGCCTATACTCGCATCATCAATTTCACCGTTGCGCCTCGATGTTCTGCTGCCTTGTCGGGGATCAGCGCCCTGCCTGCAGATGCAATTCGCTCCAGGGTACAATCAATGCGATACCGTTGCAAATTCCGTGGCTGACGAAGACGGTAAGCGGACAAGGCTGCTCGATCGAGCCTGCCATCTACTTCGCTCAACATCAGGGGACAAGGTAGACTTGCTCTCTTACAGAAGACAAAAGATCACTTTTATCTTATTTTTCGATTGTTTTTTTTTCATTCTCTCTTTCTCTCTCTTTCTCTCACACACACACACACATATACACACACTTTCTCTCTCTCCCCTTTCCTCCTTTTATTCTTCTCTGTCTTCACTATCCTTTTTCCTCTGTTTCCATTATTCCCCTTTGTTCCAACATTTTCGAAACCTCTTTCTCCTTTTCCTGATTTCTCAGTGTCTATTTCGAACGACGATTCTATTTACAGAATCGCCAGCTCTCTTTCTGCTCTCCTTGCCTTCGTTTCTGTCTATTTGCAGCTTCCGTCTTTCCATCTTCTCCGCTGTGTTCCTTCGTCTCTTTTCCGCTCGTTCCTTTTACGTTGCCTCGTTTAATGCACTTCTATAGGAAATTACAAGTGAAAACGTTTCGTTAGCAGCGTCTATTTTCCAGCGTCGCTTTTTTGTCCCCGTTGTCTCGCCCCGTTTTTCCTGTTCGCGGCGCGTAAATCGTTAGCGAGCTCGTTAACTTCGTACGATATTTATCGAAGCAGCCTGGCCCGCGATAATGGAATCCCATTGTCTACTTACGAGCGCATTACCCCCGTCGACCGATTGCCTCTCGTTGACACCTTTTCTTTCTCGACCGATCAATCCGCCATACCAGAATACATACATATACATATATACACACGTTAATTCGCTCGTCGCGCCGATCTTCCTTTCACATCGGCTCCTTTTTCATCAGGAAACACTACCTTTCCTCGAAATGAGTTCCAAGGTGTTACCGTCTGTCTCTGAATCGATTAGATTCATCCAGTTTAAAACCGAGTAACAAACTTCCCCCGCAAAGAAATTAATTTCCCCCGCACAAATCCGAGAAATTACTCGATCGAATAAATTCTCATTCTCTTTTCTTTAGCAACGTGGAACGTTGTTTCTCTTGGTTCCGAGAGTCGAGCCATCGATTCCATAGCGGTTTAGCGTTATCGGTTATCGAGTTTTTTGCGCAGCTCATCGATTTGATCAAACCAGATGGATCCACAGGACGTTCCGAACATTCCGAATCGCCCTTTGACCAAGACAAACGGAACCGCTTTGAACGGTCGAATCTGACGTGAATCGCACATGTTAATATTTGCCCACGTTAATACCCTTCGAATCTATATCGAGAAGAACGCTCACATAGACGCGGCACCACTTGCGAATGCTTTGACTCGCGTTACTTTGCAAAAGCAAATTGCACAAACTGACATGACAATTTCTTCAGTGTCTCGCGTGCTTTCCTCTCTTTCGTAAATTTAATATATTGCGATTTCACTTGAAATTCGATTGTTGAAGCAAATCACAGAAAGCTAAGGAGAAATTAGGGAGGTTGGTTTTTCGACCGCAGTCCAGCATAACTCAGACCAAGTGGCTCGAGTGAAAAAATGTCTTAAAATCTCGGGGAGAATCACGTGTTTCAACCGAACAATGGGACATTGTCTAGCAACCCCACTTCAGGAAAATCACATTCAGGACGTAATGGAAGGGAAAATCAGAAGAATCTTTTTTCTAAAACAGACTAAGTTGTGGAACACCGAAAAGTAGCAAATAAAATCAAGTTGTCAAATAAAGCATTTTATATATACCAGTTATAATACGAACGTAACCATACACAGAACATGATGAATTCCTCCTCCTTTTATATTCAAACAGAATACTGTTTAATTTTCATTGAAAATCGTTTAAACGCCAATCGTAGATGAATTAACATTGAGCTTCGACCCGGAATTTCACATTGAAAGACTACCAATTTGCAATATCAATGCGATTCGCGTTTCAATAAGCGCGATATCGATGAAAACGGTGGGATCAACGTCGACTTTCAAATTCATGAAACAATTCCGAAATCCTGAAAATTCTATTAAAAATGTTGTTTACCGTAACTGTGCCAGTTATATTTTTCCTGTTCGTCGGCAGCAATCTAAAAATTATTT